ATCAACAACCTGGAGGAGGGGGGGGCGCGTTGCCCAGGTTTGCCCCCGCCATCTTGTCCCGGTTTTCGGCTTGCAGGTTTCCGTTTAGAAACACCATCCAACAAGGTGGCTCGCCCACATATAGCCGAAGATTCAGTGAGCTAGGGTCCTGTAGGGCATGAGGTATAAACGGGCAATCCGCACAAAAGACCTCCTAAGCAAAGGCAGGTTTGAACGAGAGCGGCTTCGACATAGGTGGGCCGTGGGCCCAGAGACAGTTGTGGAAGGTAAGCCTTTCTCTGATACCAAAGTGGCCGATTCCATGAGGTGGACATGATTTCCTATCCAAATGATGTCCTCCAAAGGTTCGCCCATAAAGCATCGCACCCGTTTGATGATGATCCTAGGGAACCAACCCCCCCCTCCCCCCCCCACCTCCCGAAGGTGATTTTGACAACACCTCAAACTGTGACCACTTCAACGGACCCAGTCGATCTGGGCTGCACACTGAATTCCCAGCGAACGTCGGGCCCTTGTTCGCCTCAGCTTGCAGTGCCCCCCTCCTCCCAAAAAAACACAACGTCGTGATCTAGGAAATAGGGCATGCTAGAAGGCGCACACCACCAGAATTTGTGAAATGGTCAAATCTCCAGCCCAAATTCGCCGACAAAACCGGTTTTGTCCGAACCTCAGGGAGCGCAACCCATGAGGGAGATCCGGATCCGCATCTGTTTGGCTCCCTCCTTCTTGAGGAGAACCCTCCCCGTGGTTTTCTTTTTCTTCTTCTTCTTTGTTTTTTTCTTGCGGGGGGGGGGCGTCCCTAATCTTCCTTGCCCCACATCCTGCCAAAACCTGGCTGAGGCATCCGTACTCCAAGCCCGACCCTTGCGGCCAAAGCGCCCAATGCGCGGAGAAGTCGAAGCCTGCGGGCTCCAAAAGGCCGGCTTTGCCGGCCATTTTTGACGCACGCATTGGAAACCTCATCTTGGGCCGTTGGAGTTGGTTGACTTGCAAGGGAACCCGACAAAACATCCCTAAGTGATCGCCAGGGGTCACTTAGGGACCATACCGACTATACCCGCTTGGCATTGTGCCGCTCAACATGGGCGCTGACTTTGCAGGCTGATTACCCAGCCGTGAGTTCAGATGGGGCCGCTCCCCATGCAATGGTAAAGCTTACTTGGTGCTCGAGAAAGAAACATGGGCCCAAACAGCTGCTGGTGACCCCAGCTTGATGCTCTCTTGGCAGTGTGCCTCTTTGGACACCTGCTTGGACTCTGATCGATGGGAAAGATCAAGAGCAAAGCAGAGATTTGAAACAGTTTCAGAAGTCTTGCCATGTCCTCTTCTGGGGCTCCGCTTGAAAAGCTTCTTTTGGACACCATCATTCATCATCATTCTTGAAAGCCATGCTTGTCAGGAAGCGTTAGTTGACACGCAAAACAATACATGAAGACTGCAAGCCGCCTCTGTATGTGTTTTGGGTTTAACACACCTCGGGGAGGTCCGGGTTTTCGTTGCTGTGGGACTCTCAATACCCAGACATCGCGCCCTCCGCTTGAAGTTGGCTCAGTAGACCTTGACGACCCGCCTCCCGGCTTCAGCTCGGATCGGCCCGGAAGGACACCTGCTGGGATGGATATGCTTCACCAAGCTGAAGTAAGCAGCCCCGTAAGGGACCGTCCATCATGCTTGGGGTGAGCTTGCGATGGCCGAAATGGATATGGGGGGGGTGAAAAAGGAGTTGGATCCCTTGTTGATGAATGTCCAAGCGAATCAATCTGACCTTTACACTTTACAATGGAGGGTCCATGAAAGGTTGTCCTGCTTGGGACCGTGGCTAAGAATACCCACAGCCCCCATGGTTTGCCGGCACCCCCTGAAGCACGTGGTTCAAGTATGGCACCCTTTACTCCTCAAGTAGCACAACTCGTGCAGCCATACCTGACACATGGTGACCTGCGTTCTCTTCAGAACGTGGGGCCGTGGTACCACGAGGCGTGGGTAGCAGGCAGGTCTGCGGGTTTTTAGGGTTTAGGTTTAGGGTGGAGGGTTTAGGTTAGGGTTTTTAGGGCTTGGGTTTCTGCAAGCAGGTTTGGGTCTTTTTAGGGTTTCGGTTTAGGGTTTTAGGGTTTAGGTTTAGGGTTTTTAGGGTTTAGGTTTAGGGTTTTTAGGGTTTGGGTTTAGGGTTAGGCTTAGGGTTTTCGGGTTGAGGTTTAGGGTTTTTAGGGTTTAGATTTATGGTTTTTAGGGTTTAGGTTTAGGGTTTTTGTGTCGGGGCGTTGGTTCGGGGCGCAGGCAAACCTCAGGGGCTGGCCGTAAGAATAGGTAAAACTGTCAATTCCGATTTGAGGAACGGGCGCTGCTTGAGTCTGAGTCGATAACACATCATTGATGTCCGCGTCTCTGAACCACACACGAACACAGGAAGTTCACTAACTGACGTTAAAGCACCCCAGCTACAAAGGCCCCCCCCCAAACAGATCACTCGGCTGAAGAAGTTGAGTAGGGTTCGCCAAAAGGTTGCGATAGGTTGCGAAGTACATCATGCCTGGCCGGCTGAATCAAGTTTAATTTTCTTTGTGCCCGCCATGAAGCATGGGGATGGGGAGGCCTTTTGGACATCATCTTCACTCGGATGTCTACCATTTAGGGCTCACCCCTATGACCTAATCAGTCTTGGCAGCCCTCAATAGGGACAGCTGCTTGCACTTGGGGTCTTCCTGATCGGACACGCATTCAGCGCGACTGGTTTACAGGGCTGTCTCGTCTGGACAGAGTGGGCGTTAAACCAACGATGCCCCAGGAACTTTCAAAAGGCTCAATTGAGTCATAATCCAAGCATATCAGTCTATCCCCAATGCAAAGCAAGCAAGGAAAGGAGGCCTCCGGGAAGGACTTCTGCAAAGAAACACGGGGCTTCTACACATGATTTTGAGTTTCCACAAATTTCTAGCCAAGTATTCCATGGATCTCAGAAGCGCAGCCTTGTGCATCTTGGAAATCCAATCGTTTCCAGAAAGTCGGAACCAGGGATCCTCCAACTCGGTCCAAGGTGACAGCCAAATTGATCCTCGGAAAGGTGAAGCCACCCCGCCAAAGGCAGCTTTGAGAACTCCTCTAAACGCTCAAGAAGGGTCACTATCAAGAAGGGGTCGACCCCAAAAAATGTCGCACAACCAAGTAGAAAAAATCAAAAAGGCCGAGCTTCTGGATCCGATTTTTGTGTGAGTCGGATCAGTCCCTTCATCCAACCAGGTTTTGATAGTCGCTCCGTTGATTTGCGGTTCTCAAACGAGGATTCTTCCGGTGGATTCTACACCTCTAATCTTTTAGTGCAATGTTGGTCTGCTTTATTGGCCCCCCCCCCCACCACAGTACCACCAGTCATGTGGGTCCTCTTTAGTGGGAAGGGCGGGGGGGCGGGGTCTGGGTTGCGTTGGGGGGGTCTCGGTTACAGTCTGGCTTGCGTCACCATTGCCAGCTCGAAACAGTCACAAGGTTCTGAATGAGGAACAACACTCGCCTCAGCGAACTTAGGTTTCAAAGCGGGTGCGACGTTAAAGGAGCACCCCCCAAAACCAATCGGATTCGCCTGGGGTCGCCGGCGAGCTCCTAGCGGCGAAAGAACCATGCGCAACCCAAAAAGAGGCGTCCCCGCCCCCCCCCCCCCCAAAAAAAAGAGAAAAAAAACGATATGAACATGGAGTGGATTTTCAGGCATGTGGACACTGCAGCAGTGTAGTATACAACACATCCCTTTGTACATATACAGCATATTCCCTTGGCCAAACTTTAAAAAATCGCTTGGGCCAGCAGCATGTATTGGCCAAAGTCTGAGAGATATGTTCTGCATCACCCAAATAAACCTTGCTGCCAATCCTGTGCACGGCAGTCTTTTGCACCATCACTAAATTGTGAAAGCCCGCTTTATCTTCAGGTTTTGGCATCAGGGCACAGTGTAATACTTCACAGACTGCAAATAAGGACTCCCCTAGCAATCCTCCGGCAAATCACAAATGTTCAGGTTACTTCAAGGTGTAAAGACCTGGTTTCCCCTATGAGCTGCCACAGAGATATACCACGCAGAGTTGATATGGCATGGCTTATATGCCACCTCGACAAGCCCTTTCATGTGGTATATTGCCTCCATACCGACACCCTACCTGAACATGCTCTGGACAAACTGTGTCTTCAATGGAGGGCCCCTTTGTTCATTTGGGTGATATTCATTTTTGAGTCTTCATGATTGCGGCTAAAAATGAGTTGGACCCCCACCAGAGCCGTCGGAATCGGAAGGGAAGCCCCCAGAAACGGAGCAAAGGCTCTGTCTGCAGTCGAAATCTGAAGATCGTGCAGTCTAAACGTAGGTATGCAAACATTTATGCTCCCATGGTTCCACTGGATTTGCCAAGGAAGAGGGGGAAAGGCAAATGAGGAGTTCTCCACTTGCCACTTGGCAGAGATTGCCAGTCTCGATGCACTGCGCTTTATCAGATGATCTAGAAGCACTATCATCTCATGGCACGCTTCCTCGACACGCCAGCTCCAAAGGAAAACTTGTCTTCGCAGTGCATGCTACGCACTCACAAGCGTGAACAGAATATGTTTTCCTTGCTAAGCTTGTCCTTGCAAGGCTTGCATTCTGTATGGAGCACAAGGCTTCTCAACAACAACAGTGTGAACTCAACGATTTCCCAAAGTCTAGAATGCTTCACATGGGCCCGGACCTTCATCGCAAACCCTCACTAAAGTGTCAGTCAACCAGCGAGTAGGCAGCAACAGTCAGAACAGCCAGCCAACCACTCTTTCCAGACACCAAAGGCTCCCACATCACCCATCGCCAGAGCCCCCGTCTGGCGAGTCTGTAACTCGAGTATTTACAAGCCTAGAAGAGGCAGTGGTCTGTCTGCGAAATCCATAGATTGAAAGCTCGATAAATATTTGGGGCCAACTTCAAACATGTGGCTTCTGATCACCCTGGAGGGCTGTATGCAAATCGATTCATCCTACCGGAGATGTCAGCCATCAAGAAGAGCCGCATCTCTTGGCGAAGGCGGTGGAGGCGTCACAAAGACAAAGCCCAAAAGGACCCCCAGCGCTGCGCACGCAGCGGTTCCCGCCAGCGCAAACCACAGATTGACCCGCATGGCCGTCAGAATGGCCACGAGCAACACGAACAAGCCGGCAGGCACGGGAGCCGCAGGGTGATGCTTGCAGCGGACATGAAAACAGATCGCGCCACACCATGATGCAGAGGCGTATGCCAAAGCGCCGAGCACTGCATTCGGGTTGTCAGAAAAAAGTTCCAAAGCAGCCGCTGCGCGCAGCAGCCCAATAGCGGGAAGAAACCAGCCAGGTAGTGACTCCCCGACCTGCAACAGCTCGCTTTTGACTCCATGGCAGGGATCGGTGACGTCCAGAATGCTATGGATGCCAAGGGCCATGGCCAAGACGACGCGCAACGCCCATTCGAGAGGATCGCCCATGAAGCAAAGGATCCCAAGCGTGATGTGAGCCAAAAGCCCGAACCCTGGGCGGAAACAAGGGCTTGTTTCAATCGGTTGTGCGTGGGGCATATATCCCCTTTTGAATGATGTCCACCAAAATTATCCCGGGTCCCAACTACACTATTAAAATAAAAAAAACTCACACCCAAAAGGCTTCGAGGGGAAACAAAAATACCCACCAGCTAGAGCGCGTGCTTTCTGCTTCGTGCTTCATGTTGGTGAGTAAGTAAGTACGTAAGATGTGACATGCCGCACGCCTGCTATGTTCACTTATCCCTGGACGCAACACCCACAACTCAATTAGCTACCCCCTTGTCTGTGTGGGAGAGTGGGAACGCCGATGCTCCACTGTGCTCCAACATCAACCCGCACACCAGCGGTGAACCACATATCATTTGCTCAAACGAAAGCTGTATCAAGACGGCCTCAGTTGGAACCGCTTTGGCCCAACAGTCGCCTAGACTAGCTTTGTCTCCTCTGACCCCCAATGCAAGTTTGACTCGGTCACCTCGAACAAATACAGCTTCAGGAGGACCAAAATGAATGCTTTTGCTTTTGGTTTGTGATACTCTCATATCTCCAAGCAGCCCTCTGGCTCCCAACCTCTTGCACGCAAGACAACTGCGTTTGTTCCAATTTGGGGCGCCGTTTCCAATTTGGAGCAAACCCCCCGCATTTTCAATGCGGAGAAAACCTCCTGGCAGCACAATGGGGGAAACATCCGTTTCCTCATTCCCTCCACCCTCGGCGCCGACCCTTGGGCCCGCACCCTTCCCAGGAGGGCGTTTGCCAGGATGCCAGTGATGGACTCTGCGAGTCCTGCGCATGCTGAATCCCGCGTGCCCATGTGCTCCCCTGGGATGCCAATGGGACATGTGACCTCTTGTTGTATACCAGCGGGCTAACGGCAAGAGAACAGTCCCTAACTTGGGGGCTCTTCCCTGCGGGCTCCAAAAGGGGGAGCATAAATCAAAGGATGTTGAACTCATGGTTTGGCGGTCGCTTCTTGGGTCGTATAAAATCCGCTTGAAGCAGCTCCTTGAAGCGAACATGCTCGACGTCAGGTAGATTTCAATTGATCTATGCATGATTTGATTCTATTCTTTTTTAGATTCCATTTGTGGGATGTGGTTGGGCAAAACCGCCCACGTCTATACTTGTAAAGAGGCGCGGAGCCCTTGTGCGCTCCTTGCAAAGCGGTGGAAGTTGACTTGCCGAGCAGCACACTCAGCTGAAGGTATACGTCAATGTAGTGCGACCCCCCGCTATGAACCTGATTGATGGGTCAATTCACGACTAATTCTGGCCACGTACTTGACCACTGCCTCACTTATGCTTGCCAGGCTAAGACTTTCGCGCTGAAGGTTGCTTCAGGCACTTGGTGATGAGCAAACACGTTCTTTGGCGAACGGGCCAGACTGGGGGGGGGGGGGGGCCTAGAGTCGTAAACTGGCACCACACATGGCAGGCAGCCCCTGCAAGCATGCGCTGGACTTGATTTCAAGCAGCCTCCAACAAAGGTCCAACTACTCAAAGTCAATCCTTTTGAAATGTCTGTGTCAGACAACGAGAGCCTTGCCACCTTTCCAACTTGCCCACTTGAGCTGCAGCATGCGGTTCAAGTGGCCGTTGCTTTCAACTCCCACCATGTTTGGAAGGAGCAACCAGCCAGCCAGCGCCCTTTTCGAGTTGGCTCATAATCAATGTCAAGCCTGGTACTAAAGCAGCCCATCCAAAGTCGACCCCCAACTCGAAACAAACAAGCGACTACGATGCTGCGTAGCCGACATTTCTGGTTGTGCCTGTCCTCAACAAACATGACAGGGGCTCCCGTTGGCCGTTAGCCCTGAAAGCTTCTACAGCATCGCGCGCATAAGACTTCACAACCAGGGTTGCAAATCAACAACGACTTGTTCAAGTCAAAAACAAACAGAGACCGTTTCAAGCGGTCAACCTGCTTTGGCGATTTGGATGGACCGACTGACAGGACGGACAGACAAACGGACGGACAAATGGATGTATGGATGGAGCGACCAGGGCGGTCGGCCTTACCACATGGCCCCTCCCGACATCGCAGTCGCCCCTCGGCAAGCGTCAACTCCAGTTGGAACTCAACATGCCGCTGCCCTGCTATCTTAGGGAAAGCATGGAGGCCCGCCACCTGTGGGCAATACGGCGTGACGTCCTAGGGTGGCAGCACTGCCCACATAGGCTCTTCTTGCTGAGATCGCTCCCAGCAGTACCAGGCCAGCAACACACTCTTAACCTAAGAGAAAGGACAGTGTCCCGTTCTCCCTGTGATGGCATAGCGCCAACCACCTGCAAATCACACAAACATGATGGAGGCTGGTAGGTGCAGCCGACGCGACAAGGCCTTGCCACACAGCCTGGCACAGCGTGGGACCTGGTCTTTGTCGGTTTGCCCGTATTCAGCAGCGAAGGGGCCACTACAACCGGGCGCCACCCGCAAGCTTGTCCCCCCGCCTTCGGCGATGCCGCGAGGATATTCCTGGCCTGGCGACAGTCACATACGCCAGTCACACCAGTCATTGGGGCCAGCGTTTGAAGCCCATGGCCACCAGAGATTCCACTGGAAATGAGCCAAAGCCTTGCCCAACAGCTTGAGCCAACCGCCCGGGCTCTCGTAGATTTGTCACTGGCCAACTGTTTGTTGACACTGGAAAGTTTCCCAAGAACCAACTGGATACAAAGTTAGATCTGTGTGCTACATGGAGCATGCAACCGTTCCTCGCCATGAAAACACCCGATTTCCTATACAAACGAAGGGTAGTTTTCTGAAAGGAACTGAATGCAGCTGTGATAGTTTCCATCCGAGTCTGATGACATCAAATGTAGAGAGAGTTGAAGGTCATTGGTTTCGCTTGGTATGCAAGGCAGCAAGTTTCTGATTGTCATGTTCTCCTGTTCCGGGAATAGGCTTCAGCGATTCATTTGCAGCATTTAAAGCCTTTGTGCAGAGGGCAGTCATTGCTTTACCTGCCGCGAGCGGATGCTTCGAACCCGCTACCGATATGCTGCAACAGTCCAAAGACCGAAGGTCTGCCCGATGACAAACTCAATCTGGGAATACAACCTTGCGGGAGTTACCGATGCTTGGCAGGAATGAAACCTTTGCAGGCGAACGTATCATCCAATGCCATGGGCACCTGCTAGCTGATAGGTTGGTCCCTCACCATTCAGTTGGTTCTCTCCTTGACATGAAACCCAAGACAAAGGAAACTCCCCTTGAAACTCCTCACCTTAGCTCCCCTGAAAAACACATATGTTCTATTGTCTTCAAAGAAACAAGCAAGATTCACAACCAGTAGGTTTGTTTCACTTACAAAAAAAAGAACACCTTCACCGTCTCGTTTTCTGTTTTGTTCACCCACCAAAGTGGCGGTCAGTGGGCGCCGTGTCGGAACCCCGGCGACGATTCGCACGACCGGCTCCCGCCTGCGTCAAGAGGTTGGGCTCCGTGAGCTGAAATGACTGGCTGCCAGGCAGGGCCTCTGAGTCTATGAGTCAAGCCAATGACCGGGGGGGTGTACGATACCTTGTATGCAACCGAAAGTAGGTGGTTGTAGCGGGGGGAACATGGGTGTGTCTTCAAATAGTGTGGACCCCTCAAAAATGGGCTTCGGTTTCCTTTTGGTGTCCCTTCAAAACCACTCCGAAAAAGGTACAAGTAACAACTCCAAAAAAGACAAGCCACCCACATAGACCAACCGCAAGGATCTTTCCCCCGAAGAGTCCAGCCTTGTACGCATACTCACCCATTTTGTGGCTGGGATTTGTTGGATCTCATTCCCTGAATTACTGGACTTTGTCTTGGGAGGACCATGTGTGTGTGTGACAACAAAACATGTGCACTTTGTGTGGCCAATCCACTGAAGACGTGAGCCTTTCAAGACGGTTCGTAGCAAAGGCAAAAGATCCCGTGGACCACGAAAGGCTTTCCTCGCTTTTGCGATTTTCAAGGGGATGGGCCAAACACAACCATAACCACCTCTGAACTTGTACCAAAGGCAATATCACCTCTTCTGATACTTTTCTTTGTTGGCTACCAATGGACGGCTTTCTCCTACTTGATTCCCTATTCCTGTCAGAAACCACCCATTTTCCCTGGGTACGGCTTGAATTGTTTCTAGGTAGTGCTACATACGCCTAAGCGTGTGAAAGGTGAACCCAAGAAAGTGTCTCTCACGGAGAGTGTGAGGAGTACTCCTAGTGTCTGCCGGACGCCTTACACTGAAAGTCCAACCAGGTTGAGAACTGCCAGACTTAGACCTGCAATTGCTAAGGGAAGTTTGAAAGAGAAGCTAAGTCACGCCAATTCAGCCACGTCTGGTTTGACATCTTGCAATGGGTTCCCCGGACGTGGACCCGCTGAAGTGCCCGAGTGCCCGGCTGGAGCCGTCCCAGCACGGCCCCAGGCCGGCGTGGCCTGTCAAGGGCCCAAACACGAGACCTCTTCGCGCAGGGGTAACTTCCCCTGACCATCCTTTCGGACCACTAAACACCAAGGAGCATGGTTGGTTGAAAGAACGATGGTTGAAACAATGGAACATCAACACCCAGATGTGTACACATCAGCTCGAAGGGATTGTACTACTCACAGCCCTCGAAGTGGTCCAGTTCAGGAAAAATCAGTTCGAAGAGTCAGCCCCAGAATCCCACAAAAGGTTGAGAGCTAGTGTGAGCAGGGGGGCATGTGCAAAGTGACTCACCAAGGCCGCCTCTTGGTGAATAAACCCTGAATTGGCAACACGCTATGACAAATGCCGGTGAGCAGGCAAAGTGACTAGATGCATTGTCTGGGTATGCTAGAATCACTCACTCTGAAATAAGGGACCGCTAAGAAAGCAACTTTCTCCAAGCGTAAGCTCGCAAACCCCTTCTGAGGTTGCTATATGTTGCCCAAACCTAGATGCAGTATGGTTCGTTGCTGCCATGAGTCCTGCAACTGCATGCTTCTGGCAATCAAAGTCATTCATGGGCCATTAGACAGTTATGTAAGGTTATGTAACTGGAAGCGGGACACACAAACATAAAGCAGCAGACTGCCAGTCCAATAACTTGCAACATGTGCGAGGTGTCCTGCTGGGAAGTTGACTTTACATGAAACACGACATGCTGTACTTCCAGTTACATTCCACGAAGCTCCCAATGCCCTGGGACTTGTTTGTGCTCAGATCAGCAGCCCATGGTGTATTCATCCCAAACACGTGAACAGGAAACACGAAGCCAAACCAGGACAGCAATCCACTGCAAAAGCGAACACAGAGCACCCAGAGTTTTTCACCGCACAGTGCGCACGGGCCGTACGAAGTTGCACGCTCTCTGGAAGTAAGATTGAAGAAGAGGGTCAGAATGCTGCTCAATTGACTTTGCGCATTTCTGAGTACGGATCCCTGAGCTGCAGCAGTCAGCAGTACTCAGGCAGCTAACTCAGCTTACTCACCAGGCTAGCCCTTTGTTCAACAGCCATGGGTCGGCGCGTCGGCGCGTCTGGAAACCTGCGTTGCTTCGACGCGCACCTTCGGCGCTCCCAGGGAGCTTCTGCTGGACTTGAAGAAAGAGAAGTGCCCACCTCGCAAGGGGCAAAAAGAGAATTCAAGCACTGCACATATACAAGCTGGGTGTTTTTGAAAGATTCCGGGCAAATTGCCAACCAGAACACATTGGAAGCACGGAATCCTCAAGCAAAGAAAGGATCTTGGATTAACTTGTTTCACCCCCAGGTGAGTGTAATTTGCCCAAATAATTCACAATCTGCAATAAGCAATGAAACACATCTTCATGGGGGCTGAGGTCGCACACCAAATCCCTTTCTGAGGTCCAGGATACATTGTCAAAACACATCTGAGCCGGCCCACCCATGACCCATGCCTGAGCGAAGCAGTTGCCTACGTAAAAGGGCGGAGGCGACCGGTCACCTCCTTTCTCTTTGGGGGTTCCTGGCAAAGAACTGAGCCACCTGCTCACCCAATCAATATGGGCTAGTTGTCATTGCGTGCCAGCCACAAATCCTCTTTTGCGCTTAGTCTAGTGATCAGAAAGTTGAGTCTCGCAATTTCAAGTGGGTGGAAGCATAGCGACTGGGCACTGGGCCCCGCACTGGGGGACGACTGCGGCGTGCCGGCCGCCACAGCCCCGGCGGACGCCGAGAGCGCGTCGCGCGCGTCGCCCACGTCGCTCGGGGAGAGGTCCGGGCCTGGCGGAAATGTCCGAACCAGCAGAGCGGGGGGTTGTCTCCTGTTTTTTTTTTGGGGTCTCTACTTTGGTAAACTCTCAAAATGGGGGGGGGGGGGTGGCTAGGGGGGTGGGAAACCTGTTTGTGCTTTGGAGGGTGTCTCCACTTTGAACAAAGCTCTCACAATCGTGGGGAGGGGGGGGGAGCAAACCTGTTGGTTTGGGAACAAAGGGAACCGTCACGAGGGAAATGGGGGCCATGGGGTTTGCTTCCCTTGGTTCGCTCCGTGCCTGGGCATGTCGGGGGCCGAAAGCCCGGGACGCTCTGCAGCAGGTCAGGCATGGGCCTCAGAAGATCAGACATACGCTGGGGTGCGGAGTTTGGCGGAGGGGGAGAAACGACCAGAATTTGGGGTCAAATCATTCTCTTCTGAGGCCTCAATTTGAACAGATTCGACCGAGGACTTTTTGGCGGGGGGGAGACCTCTTGGCTGGAAAACCTATGTCGTCCCAGGGCTCCTTTTTTGGGCTAAGAACACATACTCCGTGCCGCGCGCGCCGATCGCACCTCTTCCGAGGCTTCGACCCGAACAAGGACTGGCTGGAAGCCTCGCTTTCGAAACGGACCCGATTCGCTTTTTGGGGCTGCTGTGCTGGGTGTTCAATCAGCACACCCTTTCTTCCCAGCAATAAGCAGCTCAAGGTGCTTTCATGTGCTTGACATCACCCGTGCCTGCTTCGCCTTCTGAGCCCCTTGCTCATTGAACATGCCCCCCCCCCCGAAGAACTCCTGATTGAGGGGGTCCCGTTCCTGGGAAAGAACGGTCTGCAGTCGCACTTGTTTGATCCTCTAAGGGATTCCCCAACGCACTTTGGACGGTTGCATCTCCCGCTTGTGGCTCCTTCCAATATTGGGCCCAGCCAGCTGTGTACGCATGGCTTTGACGACTGATTCAACAACCGCGTGTTTTTTGAAACTCAAAACAGGGGTAACCATTTGGGTGCTTATCCCAATTATGGAACCCCCCCAGCTTTGGGTGGGGTTTCAAGAAGAAGCCGAGCGGAACCAACCTCCTGGAAAGGTGCTCCATTTGGTTGTGTCTCCTTAATCAGTGGACCCCCAAAATGGCGGTTTTCCTTTTGGTTTCCCCCTAGAAAAAGACGAGTCACCCATTTTGAGAAACCATTTAGGTGGTTCTCAAAATGAAACCTAGAGGAAACCAACCTGCTGGAGAATTCCTCCATTTTGAGATACGACCATTTTGACCAACACGCTGTAACCCTCTCTCCGGCCTCCGAAAGTCGGGACATCTCCTCCGCCAGCCAGGCGACGCGCCGCGGGCTCTCCTGGGACACCTCGGGTGAGAACCCAACAGCCAAATGGAACTTTTAGAAATGGAAATTCCTCTTTGAAAGAGTTGACCGCCTTACGGCAGAAAAAGGAACCATTTTCTGGGGATTGACAATTTGTTGCGTTTTGGGGAACCCCTCTTGCTTGCTTGGATGCCAACCAAAAGGAACCAACCGACACGCCTACTTGCGTTGCCCGCTCGCGCAAAGCACAGGTGGACAAGTAAAAAACAACAACAACAACCAGTTTTTGACCTGGTTGCAGCCGGGATCAAATGAATTAGCAACCTTCTTGCTTGCTTCATTGGGTAAGTCCACATGCGAGGGTGGATCAAAGGGGACTATGTACGTATGGATCTGTCTGAAGATATTGGACCCACAAAAATAAGTGGCTTCTCATTGAATTTAACACAAATGAACAAAGGTACACGGGCACCCACCTCAAAGGAACACTTACCCTTGTCTATGTATGCCCCTGGTATGAACCCCTAGTTGATTGCTTGAGTACCCATTCACGGCGGCTTGCCTTGCGGGAGCTCGCCAAAGGGCCCAACATAACTCTGGAACGCCTTGCGAACGGGAACCCGAGGAAAACCCGAGGAACGTTTCACCCAACACGTCCGAGTTTGGACACCCGGGCTGAAATCACCCCAAGCGACCTCCGGGCACCGCTCCCAGAGCCCCAGAGGGAGGCGAACCGGCGAACCCGTCCATTTCGAGGCTTCGGCGCTGTTGTGCCACTCCTCCTCGAAGGCCTTCTGCAGCTCCTGCGCCGAGTCAGACCCTACCCCCCAAACGGCAGACCAAGATAGGTACACAGGTGTATACGACCCTAAGAGGGGATCCAACTTGTTTAAGCCTTAAGCAGAGTCACAACCTCCTGACACTGACAAATTATCATGAGTTGACCTGGGGGTAAACAAAAGTCCATGAAGAAGGCCCCTGACTTGAGGCTTCTTGACTTCTGCTTTGTAAATTATGGCGATTGGCCGAGAAATGCCCTCCGCCCTCCCACCCACGTTGCCATGCACTCAGAATGGAAGCGGCAAGGTCAGCTCCGCAGATACCAAGCTGATCAGTTCCCATGGTTACAGAGTCAACGTCACTTCACCATTGTGCACATCAATTTGCTGCTAACACAACCATCATGCCGACAACAGAAGCCGGGCATAATTTCATGATAAACCACCTGCGGACTCCATCTATTTCAATTCAACCAAGTTCTGGCAACTTTTGTCACGTTGCCTTCCGAATCACATAGTTCGGGTTGCATGCTGGGGCAAATGTTACGGAAATGACGTACATCCGTCTGCACAAGTTGTTTGATTCACCAACAGGAAATAAGGGATCCCCCCGCAAAAAGGGTACTGCCAAAATTGCAAGTTCAGCAAAGGCGTCCTGTTACCTCTCATGGATATGTTCCATCTACAAGGCATACATAAACAATCTAAAGCGTACATCTCAGCAAAGAAGTCATGTTGCTGGTTTACCGGTGGAGTACTCAGACCCAAAACAGGTGTCCGAAAGGAGCTTCCTCTATACATCTGCAAATCAGAGTATAATTCCAAAACCTGAAATCAAGGATCCCCCAGCACAAGACCTACACTGGTCGGTCCGTTTTACCCCTACTTCAGCTGGAGATGAGATAGCAGAGAAATGCAAGGATTTCTGGGCTCCATGTTGATTTACAGGGGAGGAACAATGACGCATTCGCATGTGCGGCAAGCTCGACCCACATTGTCAATTACTTGCCTCTCCATTCCCAGAGGCTCCCTCAGCCAGGTTCCATGTTAATGGACAGGAGAGGAAATGTGGATTCCCTTTAGGGGAAATGGAGATGGCACCCTCAGAAACTCCTGCGAAAGAGGATGCCCACTGCGGATGGAGGAGCAAAACTCCTCCCTGTCCTCAGCATGAGCCAGAAACGATTTGGTGCTGGCTGTGGCTGAAACATAGGGTACCCAAACTAAATTTACGATCCCCTGCATCCTGAGTTTTGAGCCATACAGAAATTGACACGGAAACCCTCTCATCTGCACTGGAAGCTTCTGTTGGGACACCCCTTTCAGTGTTCCATCTTAATTTGTAGGGGTACACTTGGCTTTTGATCTCACAGAGCCTGGGTGCATTCAGGGCAGTGTTCAACTTGTTTGTTTCATTGATCACCGATTCCTAGCGGGAAGTCATAAGGCAAAAACCCCGCTTTTGGTCTGCATCATTTTGCTGTTTGTCAAAAAACACAATGACAAAAATAAGGTTCAAAAAAGGCCTCTCAAGTTTCATGGATGTGGACCCTCATCCCTCTCCGTGTGCCAATATAAACGGACTTTGGACAAGACTTTGAGCTCCACATGAAGAAGTGGGTGCCTGCAGTGACGATAACTATGAGGCAAACACTGATCAACGGCGCAAAGCTGGTGACGAGTGGAGATGGCGATGTCACTTGATCTCCAATCGCCCAACCGGCTCAGATCGGCCCACCGGAAATTGTCTGCGGGAGGTCAGCGCTGCCTCCAGCGGTTTTTCTTTGGGTCAGGTGAGTGGCGAGATGGTGCTGAGACTCAGCAGCGAGCCAACTACTCTCGTGCCAGGACATCAAACAAACACATGCTTTGGATTGGGATTGGGAGTAGTAGATTTATTGTCAAGGGGGGGGTGTATCGTTTGCATGTAAAATCTACATACATATATAGATATGTGCATAAATATGTATGTATACACATTGTAATGTAAACACATTCCTCTATGTATATATATATATATGTATATATGTACACATGATAGTCCCCCCCCACACGCAAAAAAGAAACACACATGTTTCACGACATGTACGGGTTTTTCCCTGCTTGAGCATCTCTTTCTCTACCTCCTGAAACTGATCATTCAGTTTCGCAACCAAAAAATATACACATATTCTGCGTGTTTTAAATACAACCAAACTTCGCAAAGTACTATTCGTCATGTCCGGCTCGTTCAAATACAAAGCTAGCACGCGGAGTGCGCTCCCGCAGCTCCGGCTCTAAAGTTGCAGCATTTAATTAAGTTCCTACTAAGTAGTTCTCCCGCCAGGTCCGGGTCGGGACGTAGTATTAATAGTAGTAGTAGTAGTAGTAGTAGTAGTAGTAGTAGTAGTAGGAGTAGTAGTAGTAGTAGGAGTAGTAGTAGTAGTAGTAGTAGTAGTAGGTAGTAGTAGTAGTAGCAGGAGGTCCCGCAGCTCTGGATCAATAAATGCAACTTATAAGTACGAAAGTGGTACGCAAAGTACTCTCCTGCAGGCCCGGCTAGAAAGCTGAACACTTTTCCACTTTGACAACGGCCTAAAAGCAAAAAGAAGGCCGCGCTGCCACCTTTCAGGACATGTCTTTCATCACGTTTCCGTACACGCTGCCGGGATAACCCGGCTCTAGTTGAAGATATCCTTCTTGGGGTGGTAAGAGAACAAAGGGCAATCGTCATTTTGGGGCGGGACACAACCTGCCAGGGGTCCGATTTTGTCTCTCTTGCTCCAAGACTTCTTGCCATGGGAAGGCGAACGGCCCGAATCACACACTTAAACTCCAGATGGAGAGTGCTAATCTTTCGAGTACAACTGATGAGTCTCGAGTACAACTGATGAGTCTCGAGTACGATGAGTTTCTGCTTGATTTCCGCGGGCAAAGAGGGGACCTTGTTGGGAAGCAGGTACGTAGCTGAGCGTCCTCAGCTACTTCCCTTCCAGTGACCTAGCTTCGTTGGATCAGGTCAGTCACTGGAAGCCTGATCCCCCTGCTGCGAAACCGAAAGGGTGGTGACAGGGCATTCTGTCACTCCGCACACACACGCCCCTCTACGAGGGGCGAAGTTTCTCTTTTCTCCTGCTGGAAGATCAAATGCTCACACTCAATTGTCTATCGTTGACCAAAAAATCCTCCACGGCGAGGGGAGCGAGACACCGCCCTGAACCGCTCAGAAGACGGGAACGAAAGATCACCACGTTGAGCATTGCGAGTGTCGCCATAGAGGACTGAAGCGATTTGCGAAGCAGCCGGGCGATCACCTTGAGAAAACGGAGTGGCATAGGTGAATGTCTCCTCAACTGGAACGGCATCGGAGTTTCGAACTCGACCAAGCGTCTGATCATGTGGATCGCGAGTCGTGAATGACTCAATCCGAGACAAGATGCGCTGGTACCCTTGGTGTTGCCAGTCACGGATGTCCCATGCTTGGACTGGCGCGTCGGGCTCAGTCACCCGTCTCCATTCACGAAACGAATTTTCAGGGACATCTGGCAAGGCGTCCCCGCGGTGCCATCGTTGAGGATGTCCTGGAGTGTATATCCGCACCCACTCCTGATCATGCCAGACTGAATATTCAAGCCATGGGTGCTGCTTCGAATCATCGATGTCCATGTCGAGGCAAGAGGCAAGAATGGTCGCGGGCTCCGATCCGGCTAGTAGATAAACAAGCACAATGCACAACCATGTTCAACCAGCAACCAACAACCAAGCAAAATCATGTAAGTGCAAAGATCACCCTTATTTCGTACGCTGCGCTGCTCATGCGAGTCTAGTCTTCAGTGAGCTCGAAGACGGGACTCATCTTGTCTCGGCCACTGTCGGAAGGATTAACGGGCCGGTAGGGGTCGGAGACCCCAATCGTCTCCAATGATGTGCTTCCACGCGATGCACGTACTGGTTGATGAGGATGGGAAGCTAGACGTGCGCGAGCTGTCAGTTGTTGCGAAATCCCTTCCTGGAGACGAGTCAGTTCTTCAGTAGAGAAATCAGCTGCATCCGAGGACCTGAGAATCGCGTCTAACAGCTCTGGCGACATACTCAATGCCGCAGACTGCGTGGCCACGCTGTGATGATCGGGGGGATACCCTGAGTCAAATTCATGACCAGCGTGAGGGGCAGCGATTCGTCGGTAGCCCTCTGTGGCCCAGTCTCGTTTGTACCACATAGTGACTTGGGCCTGCTCTCCGACTGAGGCCTGGTTGGGTGCATAGAACTCCCTCCACTCTCTAAAAGTGTGCGGAGGAGGTGGATCATCATGTTCTTCTTGCGGCGTCCACGGTCCCGGATGAAAGATCTTGACCCACTGGGCATCTGGTTGTTGAGGGTCCGGGCACCATTCCAGCCACGCCATGACAACACAACCACGGAAAGACAAGTTGATAGGTGTACGGCTGCAGACAACAACAAGTGCAAGCAAGTCAACAATCATAATGCAAAGACCACTTTTGTAACACTGTGCGGCGCCAGCATCATAGTCTGACTCTCCAGGGAGGCGAGGGCGGGCATCAGCTCTCAAGCGAATTAGATGATGCCGAGGAGGAAGTCATTCCAGCATACATGAGGTCCGGTGCGCCCGAAGCAAAAACTGGCCTCGCTATGCTAGGATGTGGACGACCCAGGCGTTGATACCCCCTGGTGACCCAGTCCCTGTAATACCAAGTGTAGAAGGTGGCGTAAGATACCGGTTGCAGAACCGTGCCTGTGGTTGTGCCGCCCGTGCTTTCCCGGGGCCAGTACACTTCGAAGTGGTGGACCTTGCGCCATTCCCGATAGGTGGTCGAGTCATCCGGGGCCGGTCCCAGGGTGTCTGGGGCTACTGGATGCCACTGACCCGGAACATAGATTCGAATCCATTCCACACTCGTTCCTGCTCGACTATGAACGATGTCATAGTCAAAATAACGAGGTAGGACCCATTGTGCTGCACCCTGCACTGTACTATTGAACATTTCAACCCAACAAGCTGCTCAAAGTTAGCACGGAAAGCGGCGGACACACTGAAACGACATGCACAGCACCAAGCAAGACAACCCAATGTGAGCACACATACAACGCAAGCACAACCGCATCTTTGTCCAACATGCTGCTCAAGAATCAATCCGACTCATTCCAAGGATCATGGAATGGCGGCGGTGACGGTTCCCGCCACGCCCCATCCGGTACCGACGAGCCCACCGAGGACTCGACGTCCGCATTGACGAGCATCGCGAATCCCATGGATTGTACAGGAGGTCCAAGGCGTTGATAACCTCGTGTTTGCCAGTCCCGGTACTCCCACACGTGGTAGGACACATAGGCACTGGGCGTGGCTATAGGATCCATTGTAGTTCCACCGGTGCTGTCTTCAGACCAGTACACTTGGAAGTGATATGATCTGCGCCACTCCCGATACGTGGAAGCGTACAGTGGGTCAGGAACAGGCGCCTCATCGGGAACGGGCCTCCAAATGCCCGGAGAGTAAATTCGAATCCATTCCACTCCTCTATCGATCTGGTACTCGAAATACTGGGGGTTCATAGCAGCAATACGTGCTTGCACGACTGTTGAACCAATCGAAAGTCTGCGGCAAGGACACACATGCATTGCCAACCGCACATACACACTGAAGAGTGAGGCAACTTTTCAAACACAAGATGAAACGCAGCAACGAGGTCGGAAATGTCAGACTCCTAGCTTTCACTGTCGTTGATGTCGCGCACACCTGCAATGATAGTGACCTGGCCGTCTACGAGCACAAGGGGAAAGACATTTCCGTCCATGGCGCAGGATGGCGTGACAGTAATGCTTGCACGCCGCCGAGGGGGATTGCGATGGACGGCCTGCACGTTTGGAATAAAACACTGTAAAGGGCCGTCGAGATCGCCGCGGCGCCGAAGCTGATGCTGTCCGAGATCGTTTGGACGAGGGCCCTGGACTGCGTGGTTCTTCATCACGGGAGGGGTCACTGCTGTGGATCGAGCGGCGTGTGCGCTGCGATTTCGAAGAGGTAGAGCAGGATTGTCCACGAGGGGCTGAGATCGTGGGGCTGCGTACCGAGGGCATAAACTGTGGGTGAAGAATCACCGGTGGTGGTGGTGGTGGAGGAGGAGGTGGAAGAAGCAATGGCAAACTTGGCGGGGGCGGAGGTGACG